GGACCCCCTGTAGCTACACAGAGGGAACATCTGTGTGCATCACCCCCGTGCTGCGTGGGGGAGCCATTACCAGGGGACGTGGAGCAGTGATAGACACAAGTACCCCTTTCATTCCAATCCCAGGGGGCCTCTGACCACAAAAGAGGTAGCTCTGGGCTAGCAGCTGGGCCCAACCTCAGAGGCTGTCCACAGACCCCGTGGCCCAACCTCCCTGCGGATTCTCCGAGGTCCCAGCATCCGAGCGCTGGTATCTTGCAGCTGGTACACAGCTGCAGGACTGCCTTCTCATTGCACTCGCGTGGCCGCCCCCTGGCCCCGGTGTTCTCCTCCTTCCCAAGCTCGAAGCCAGGGCTCGGAGAGCCAGGGCGGGGCTGAGCTACAATACGTGCCCATCAGACCCACTCAGGCACAGCCCAGCCCCAGCACCTTCTGGCACCGTGACCCTGGGTCACGTCTTACTCTGGGCCCAGCATGTTCATCTGTTAAGTGGGACACAGACTTGAGACCAAATGTCACATGCAACAAACAAACCAATCAACCAAGCATCCTTAGGCTTCCAACTCAGGGCAACCCCCTGTGGGTCGGAGCAGAGCTGTGCTCCCTCCACTCTAAGGGTTCCCACTGGTTAGCTGTTTGCAAGCAGAACACCAGCCTTTCTTTCTCCCCATGCACCTCGGGGTGAGCTCACACTGCTGACGTTTCTGCTGTTGCTAGTGGACATCGAGTGGATTCTGGCTCATAGCAACCCTGTGTACAACAGGGTGAAACACTGCCCGGTCCAGCACCATCCTCACAGCGTTCTTGCGTCTGCGCCCCTGGTTACAGCCACTGGGTCAACCCATCTGGCTCTTTTTCGCTGCCCCTCCCCTCCCGCCTGACAGCATGTCGAAAGTATATAAGACAAACTCTCACCACCCTTGCCTCTAAGGAGCATTCTGGCTGTACTCAGTTCCATCCCCAAACCCCCAAACTCACTGCCAATGAGTCGATTCTATCTCAGAGCAACCTTAGAGGGTA